CCCCACACACACACACAAAAACTGCCGATCCGGGAACGCCTGAAAAGGAGGCTAAGGTATGTGCAGCATATAGCAAAAGTTTAGCTTTCTGCATAGTCTTTTGAGTTGATTTTGTTATTATAATAATTACTTGATGTCTTTTTAGTGGTGGTCTTCACCGAGCTGACGTTACCTGATGAAGTTTTCACTGAAGAGCTCAATAACATGAACAGTTCGCGGTACCGTATGCTGGCCGGGACTTTGAAAAGAGAGGTAACACATAAGTTCTGTCACCTTCAATATGACATCTCTTAAAGACAACAATTTGTATTGCTTTTGGTTCCACAACAATATCTGTAGGTATTGGCCTAATATTGTTATCCTTTGTCCACAGGTATCCAAAGCCTTGAAAGGCATTCCGAGCTTCCGACAGGCAACTGTAGAGAGTTTTCGGTAAATATAGATTTTTTTTTACATTGACTGTTGTATCTGCTGTATTTTGTTCAAGAAATTCAAATCAGTCGTCTTTCATTGAAAAAAAGAATCAAGTAGCAAATGCTACAGCCCTAACTGACTTTAAGTATAGTTACTGTAGTGTTTTGCTTTCATTTCGGAAAATCTTACTTGTTGTGGCGGGCTGTGACTGTATCATTGATCGTCGCCATCTTTTCCAGCTCGGGAAGCGTGATTGCCAATCTTGGAATTGAGTTTGAGAACACCGGACAACCTGGGGTTTCAAATGAGACTGTGGTAGGAACTCTCCGGCAGTACATTAACGAAACTGGAGGACGTCTTGGTAACCTGAGTGTGAGCCAAGTGGACGTCGCTGTACCAAAAGGTAATATATAGCAGGGGTGGGGGAGGGGGTATGAATGTCAACAATGTCAACGAATGACAACAATGTCAACGATGTCAGGCCGTACATTTCTTGAGGTTATAACGAGTCGTGAAAAGTGTTTGAATTCTTTCGCATTTCATTGTACAATTAACTTAACTTAATACAACTGTATCAAATATTTAACTTTTCAATGTATTAAATATTGACCGTTAACTGAAAAAATCTAAAGAGTAAAACTTTTAGGTTGAATGGGCCAGCTAGCACAGAAATGCAGCTTTGTCCGTTAATCCTTTTCTAATATATTAAGTAAACAAGCATATGTTAAGGTACATATTTTGTCATTTAGATTGAAATCAGATGGATAGAGTCGGATGAAATATTCTTTGTGGTATGTACTGCTTTAAGAACTTCTCCATTGCATTACATTACATTCGGACAGCAAATAGATGATGAATGCATGTTAAAAATCAATTGAATGTACAACTGGCGTAAAATGGTACTACTTTTTTCTTACATATTTATTGTTTTCGCAGTGGAGATTCGTCTTGTTGGAGGAAGCAACCCTTACGAGGGCCGTGTAGAGATCCGACTAGGTAACGGAGAATGGGGCACAATCTGCGATGACAGTTTTGATATCAACGATGCAAATGTAGTCTGCAGAAAACTCGGATATGGATTCGCAACGTCATACGAAGGGTCTGCGTATTTCGGTCCGGGCAACGGGTCTATTTGGTTAGACGATGTTGAGTGTGAGGGAGATGAGGAAAATCTACTGGACTGTTCATCCTCTGGATGGGGCCAACACAACTGCGGCCACTACGAAGACGTTGGAGTCGTCTGCGCAGGTAAGTTTCTGCATTGATATTGAAAGTCCTAAAAAGAGTAAAAAGTCTACTTGACAGTATATCAAACATCTTGCTTGGACAACAGAATTGTACCAATAGTAGTGTTCTTTGTGAAGATGAAGGATTCTCTGAGCTATTGGTCAGCAAAATGCTAAATGTTGTTTTTCCTCTATTCATCGCCGTATTCCGTTCAGTACAGGACAGAACATTTGATCTCTCAATCAATTTCTGAAGAGTCCGGTTATATCTAAAAAATCTTGCTTTAACATCTTAACAGCGGTATGGTTGCCTTTATGGTTGCCTTCAATGTGCATTATCGTCATATTACCCATCATTTATTTACAGTACAATGTGAGCCCATCATCATCGGAATGTGCAGAAATGTTGTGCCATACAACCTCACGGCGTTCCCCAACCTGCTGGGCCATGTTTCCCAGCAGTCTTTCCTCACCACCCCGGAAAGTGTCAGCGTAATCACCGCTCTGATGAACAGCGGCTGTCATCCTGATGTAGAATTCGCCGTCTGCTCTGCACTGGTGCCAAACTGTATCGACTCGGTGCAGGTACGTCTCTAAAACGTCAGGGAATGAGGCATAGATGGTTCTTAGTTATTGCCAAAATAACATCACATGCTTGTGCAAGGGATGCTAAATTCATAGTATTATTTACCACTCTTTGAAAATATATAGATGCATGCAATCTGTCTTTAAATTACATAAGATATCTCCTTTTTCTTTCTCTCTCAAAACAATACCCTTACTAGGACAGTAAAGGCTGATATGTAGATAGAGTATCGAATTAAAGATAGAAATTTATTTTCATACGTTGCTCCGAAAAGAAGTATAATTTTTCCCGCTCTTCTTCTTGCAGAGACCACCTTGTAGGGACTTCTGCGATGATGTTAGGGCAAGTTGCGAACAGGTCCTGTTGGACATGGGACAGCCCTGGCCAATAGACTGTAACAGTTTAAATACCCGAACTCAATGCACCACACCTTATGCAGGTAAGTGACAGGATCTTTGATTATTAATTTGTAGCAATTGAACATACACGTGCATAACACACAAACACACACACACACACACACACACACACACACACATTTAATTAAATTAAGCTATGGGTCGATTTTGATGTATTTGGTATATGGATAAATCATGATAACGCCTCAACATTATTCGATTTCTCCCCTTAGTGGCTTGTTATTATGGTACTGCTGTTGAACTTCCTGTTTTGACATCTTGTGATATGGACATGCTAGGGTAATGTATACGTAATGCGTCACGCTGAATTACGTTAGGTTTTACAGCAAACAGTACTGCAAACAGTCCATATCACAAGATTTCAAAACAGGATGTTCAACTGCAGTACCATAACAAACCACTAAGGGGAAAAATCTAATAATGTTGAGGTGCTATCACGACTTTTTTAGTTATACATGTAGCTATGTACGTCTCCAGAAACTAGACATGAACAACCTAATAAATTTCGTAAATCGCAGCGATGCCAGTTATTATTACCGCACAGACCCTTTATGTCATCAATTAAATGTACAAGTGCACCGTGAAATTTAAGTTCTTTTTTTTGACATTTTTTTTTGCTTTCATAGCGGAGATACGTCTTGTCGGAGGGACCAACCCGAACAAGGGTCGTGTAGAGATCCGGCGAGGTAACGGAGAATGGGGCACAATCTGCGATGACAGCTTTGACATCAACGATGCAAATGTCGTCTGCAGGCAACTCGGATATGGACTCGCAGCATCATACGAGGGCGATGCTTTTTTCGGTCCGGGTAACGGATCTATTTGGTTAGACGATGTTGAGTGTGAGGGAGATGAGGAAAATCTACTGGACTGTTCATCAAATGGATGGGGTCAACACAACTGCGGCCACTATGAAGACGTCGGAGTCGTCTGCACTGGTAAATTAGTCACTATATACATATATTTACAGTATATACCTTTTCAATAACAGGAGAAAATTGGTTGGCGTTGTCTGTACGTAAGGATTCCCTTCATATAAAGTTATAACCTGAGAACATATTTGCTTAATTAACCGCCCTTGCATATGGTAAGCAAATTAATGATTTTTGTTTGTCTCAATATGTCGACTAATTTCATCTAACACAGGACAAAATCATGTCTGCATTCAATTTCGGAGTATCATGTTATATTTATCATAACTTACTTGACTATGCCTTGCCTTATCCATTATTCACACAGTACAATGTGAGCCCATCAACATCGGGATGTGCAGAAATGTTGTGCCATACAACACCACAGCGTTCCCCAACCTGCTGGGTCATGCTTCCCAGCAGTCTTTCCTTACTGACCAGGACAGTGCCAACGTAATCACCACTCTGATGAACAGCGGCTGTCATCCTGATGTAGAATTCGCCGTCTGCTCTGCACTGGTGCCAAACTGTATCGACTCGGTGCAGGTAAATAAATATCTAAACCAGGGGATTATCTGTTTTTGTTGATGATTCTCACTTATTGTCGAAACATTTTCATGCCTGCCTGCGATATGCGCAAATGATAAGTTATTCACCGAGTTACTCTTGTATGAAAGACGAGAGTTTATTATACTATCTACTCCACTTTGGACGTAGATATGGCTAAAGATGTATTCAGTCTATCCTTGAATAAAACGCAAGTAATTGCTTTCTCTCTCTTTGTAAATAGATATATTTAGATAGAGGGAGAGAGGCCCCACTATAAATACGATGAAGACAGAGATGTACGTAGTGAATCAACATAAACAGAGCAATGTACCTATACATGTGGTTTTCGAGATGTCTCATTTTTTGTTCTCTTGCCGCAGATAACTCCCTGTAGAGATTTCTGCACTGATATCAGGGCAAGTTGCGAACAGGTCCTGGTGGACAGGGGACAGCCCTGGCCGTTCGACTGTAACAGTTTTAATACCCGAACTCAATGTATCACACCTTATCCAGGTAAGTGACATTGTTTTTTTATTATTATTAATTCTTTGAAACAGTTGAGCATGCCATATATACCAATAACCCTATTAACATATATATGTGTAGTGCATACGATAGCATAAATATTTTTACACACGTCAATGTTATTTTTTAATAAGTATTCATTGTCTATTTCAGTGATCATCTCTACTGAATTGACGTTACCTGATGAAGTTTTTAGTGAGGACCTCAATGATATGAACAGCTCTCGGTACCGGATGCTGGCAGGGACTTTGGAAAGAGAGGTAACATACGCATATAGGCACCAAGAGTTAAATAATACATAGAGAGACAATTTGACTCTAAACTGACCAAAGCGCAAAACCACGTCTATACGTTAAACAAGGACAGCGACAACAACAACAACACATACTTGTACACGTCCTAAATACTATGATGTCACGTCTGAAAAAAAAACACAATTTCATTGTTTGTGTGCGCACGTTTACGTTTTAATACTATGTATGTCTGTATCCTATATCCACAGGCATCCAGAGCCTTTCAAGCCATTCCCAGCTTTCAACAAGCAACTGTTGATAGCTTTCGGTAAATATACATTTTTGATGTTAACTATTTTGTTTTAGACACTGTATACATGTAATTGATTTCTAGTTTAAGAAAAGAAGAATCAATTACTACGCCAGTTATTAATAACAGCCAGCCTTTAAATACGTCGAAATGCTTCAAATAATGCACTGCATTCAAACAGTTCCGAATCTACACATTCTATTCTCCCAGAGTGTGAATACGCAATCTCTCAATCATTTGTAGAAAAGTCAGAACAATAATTGCTTGCAAGTGCAAGCAAATGCTTTTCTCTTTAACCCGAAGAAATTACTTGTTATAGGATTGCCTTTGTATGAAAAAGAACAATACTTCTAGTATTATTCTTATTAAAACTTTTTAATTAAACCATAACGTTTGATATAATTGAGGTATGCCTTCACTGTGTAGGAGTGCCAAATCAACGCCTTCCGATCCCCTTCTTTTCAGCTCGGGGAGCGTCATCGCCACTCTTGGCCTCCAGTTTCAAAACACCGGACAAGCTTTAGCTTCTGATGAGGCTGTGGTAGCAACTTTCCGGCAGTACATCAGCGACAATGGAGGACGTCTTGGTAACCTACGTGTTAGCCAAGTGGAAGTCGTTGACGTTGTGACTCCAGGTAATACACATTTGGCGATGGCGTTATGTATAACAACGAAAATGTAAAGAGTAGCTTAGTCGTCTATAAACGTAAGCTACGTGCAATGGTGCCGTTCATGTGTTACTCAAATTTATAATCGTTGCACGTGCAATACTGAGGTGAATTCTATAATTTTATTCTCAAAAAAAGCTGCTTCGTATACAATAATATACATACAATAGCAAAACAATGAGTTGTCACAGTTTGAACGTAAAAAACTATGCATTTCTCATTGATATTTAAACTTAATCGGAAATTTCTCTTTCTTTGTCTCAACAGCGGTAATACGGCTTGTTGGAGGAGCTACGGAATACGAGGGTCGTGTGGAGGTCCGGAATGGTGACGGAGAATGGGGCACGATCTGCGACGACTACTTTGACATCAGCACAGCAAACGTCGTCTGCAGGCAACTCGGATTTGGCTATGCTCTCGAATATACGGAATCAGAGGTTTTTGGGGAGGGCAGCGGTCCTATTTGGTTAGACGATGTGCGGTGTGCGGGAGATGAGGAGAGTTTACTGGACTGTCCATCCGGCGACTGGGGGGAACACAACTGCGACCACGATGAAGATGTTGGGGTCATCTGTTCAAGTAAGGAACCTTGTAAACTTTGCAAAGATAGCCTGCCAAGTAGCTAGTGACACTATCCTTCAAGGTCACAAAGGTGTATTGCAACATCGTTTATTAGATAGTACTTTAACTGCAATGTTTTTTTTTTATTTTGAACATTGCATGAAGCTGTTGCTCAAAATCGAATGTATCCTTCATTTCTATTACATAATACAGAATGTATGGATTTTTAAAGTGACTAGTATGTCATCCTTTTGGTCTTCTTTCACGATCAATGTTGCTAAATACGTCGATGAAGGGTAGACATTCAGGTAACAAGATCTCTGATCTTTTTTTCAGATACAACAGGCAACGTGTCTTGTAAGTATATTACCATTACTTTTGTTATCATCTAAAATAGAGCTTGAAATGCCACTCAAAACTGTGTTAAGGAACCATAAGCACAAATGCTTGGCGTTAGAAGTAGGCGCTGACGAACTGAATGCAAACTTTGAATTTTAAGTACCATTTACTACTATTTACATATTCATTTTCACAGTGGAGATACGTCTTGTCGGAGGAACTAACCAGAATGAGGGCCGTGTAGAGATCCGGCTGGGAAACGGAGAATGGGGCACAATCTGCGATGACAGCTTTGACATCAACGATGCACATGTTGTCTGCAAGCAACTCGGATATGGACTCGCAGAATCATACAGAGATTATGCGTATTTCGGTCCGGGTAACGGTTCTATTTGGCTAGACGATGTTGAGTGTGAGGGAGATGAGGAAAATCTACTGGACTGTTCATCCTCCGAATGGGGCCAACACAACTGCGGCCACTCTGAAGACGTTGGAGTCGTCTGCACTGGTAAAAGAGTCTGCATATACACATATTCACTTATTGTATGCATTTTGAATGACAGGATAAAACTAATCTGAACTTTATTTTGAATATATTGCCGGAACGCAATTTCATACACTCGTGAGGCATTTGGGTTGTTAAAAAACGGTAAAAGTGTATAAAAATTATTTGCCTACACTAACTTTAAACCACAATATAGGTCATTTGGTTAAAATGAACACGAACTTACCGAAGAAGAAGGAGAATAATGAGCACCAGGATTGACAATATATTTAATCCATATCTATGGTATAAAGTGATTGAATAGTTAACATCTGCCTATATTTAACAAAAAAATCGAAATTACCTTTTGCTTTTATATAGAATCAATTCTTTTAATTGTATGCTTTTAGAAACATGATAGTTGATGACAAAGTGTAGCTGGCTAATGATCAAGTGGTTTAACAATGCTTTTGCAGGAAGGTCAGAGTGCGACCCAATACCTTTCGGCCGCTGTCAAAACCTGCCCTACTCCGGCACGTCTTTTCCGAACTGGTTAGGGTGGCAGGGACCAACAGATGCCATCGGAAACGCAACAGCGATATTTGCAGCCCTTGACCAGATTTCTGATTGCCACAAGGACTTGGAGTTCTTTTTGTGTTCACTGTATTTCCCGTCGTGCACGTCGACAGGAATCAAGTAAGTCACACTAGCAATAACTGACATCGTCTATTAATTTATATGTTTAGAAAACACTGACTACTATAATTACCCTGTCTTTAAGAATAGGCCATGTTTGAATTATTGATGATTCAATTGTCTCTTATTGTCTTTACGTAACATTTGTCTTAAACGAGTTGGTAAAGATAAATCTTCATGTTGGTTATTTCTGTGTGTATGCCTATTAATTCGTGACCAATGGATTCTTGTGTTCATTTGATAAAGACGATATAACTTGTCTCCTTTTCATCTCTCTTAGATTCCCATGCCGATCTCTCTGCGATGAGATCAATAACGCATGTGCACTACGCGCCCTTGCCGTTGGCATTCCATGGGACACCGCCGGCTGTGTCACCCTGCCAGTTAGCAGCTACCAAGAAGGGTGCATCGCTCCTAAAGGTGTGGCCAGCGTTGTTACTCCGTGAAGGAGGTCAGGACCTCCGGACGGAGTGTTGTAATCGGCTGATTTTTCATGTTCGCAGTCAAAACACTGGGTTCTCTTTGTGTAATCGGCACGCAATTTTATACGCCGTCTGCGGGCATGCCCGTGTTGATGCACGAATGTGTATTTTTGCCGTTGCTGCTTTCGCGGTCAATGTAATATCGCAGACGCACCCCTACAATTACGAGGCGAATTGGAATGGTCCAGAAAAACGCGTTGTTTGGAATAGCAGTGGGGGGGGGTAAAAGGTTCATGCAGATACGGGGTGGTTTTTATAAGTGGTTCCAGATGTTTTTGCCCATGGTTAAGAGATGCCAAGTTTTTTGGAAGATGTTCGCAGCCAAAACGCATTCTTCCGTACGTCGCATTTCTGTGTAATTTCGCATGTGGTGTTGCATTATGTCCGGGATGATGCACGTCTTTTTATTTTTACCGTAGCTGTTTTGATATTGGAGTAAATGGTTATTTTTTAAACATCCCCATGTCGTTGAAATGTTGTCGTCCGTTTATGTCACCGGTAGTAAGTCGAGTAAGTGGAGTAAGTCGCGGCGGGGCTGATGGGGACGGAATGTGGGGTGGTCAGAGGTCAACATTAGGAAATGTTAATACCGATGACGTAATCCTATCGATTTCAAACTGGTCGGGTGTGGCGACCTAGTGGCGGCGTGTACTAGTATTTAGTCACGTAGCAACTGCATGCTGGCCGCTTGACTGTACACATGGGCAATATTTTTTGGGTTGGGTTGGGCCGCTCCATAGTGTTAGTGGAGCAGCTCTTTGGGAAAATGGACAATATTTTTGAGCAACCCATCAATGTGTTCTGCCTCGTGGTCGGATGTGGTCTGGGGCTGGTAAACCACACATACTAGTAGATCGGATAATTTAATGATTTGCTAGTTGTAAAGGCGTCTTGTAGTATGAGCCGGTATATGAAGAAGTAGCCTGTGTTACACAATCATGCTTTCGGCCGGATTGATGTGCAACTGTTACTGCGCTAATGCCGACCAGTCGCGCTGTCCTGATACACCGCGAATGTGCGAGTGTTCCCTGTAGACAGTCCCGGGAGTCATTTCTTTCGCACATTCCAGGAGCCAAACCAAATACGTTCATGAGCCGAGTCCAAAAAACCGAAACGTGAAAATCGGATGATCGGACCTGATGTACATTTCTCTTTCTGTAGATTGTACACACAATACTCACATCTTAAGATAATCTGGCCATGGCAGGTAAAAAAAAGTAACCCTGAATCATACTAGATTAGCGTAAATGCATGTTTATGCGTTCAAAACAAGAAAAGAAATTGTTTCCCGGTATTAATCTCTTGAGACACGGCGCTGAATATTGACGCAAAAATATTCCGGGCATCGCGCGCCCTTCCCCGTATGCAAATCCCGCGTCACGTGTCGGCATTTCGCATCTCTGATTGGTTGTTGCGTCTTAAGATGACTGAGCCGACGCGCGTTTAAACAATTTTTCTTTGTTCGATTTATCACACTTCACAGAGAATTGTCGCCAATGGCTACTTCTTTTTGTTGCAATATATAATACTTCACGGAGAATTGTCACCTATGGCTTCTTGTTCTGACTTGTAATGAAGAGACTATAATGATTTTATTTTCATTTTGGCATATTTCATGGTGACAGATTATAATTACTGGTAATAGGTCCTTTTATATAATGTAGGTACTTACGAAAGATGCGTAATACCGTCGTAACACCACATTACTGATAGCTTTATTCTGTCTTGTTTTCAAAACGGTTTGTGGAATTCCTTATTGATACGGTTATTACGGTGGATGATGGCTGTAACTAATATTTTTTATACGTGATTCTTTTTTGGCCCGACAAAGCATACAGTGACTTTTTTATGGTTTTCTACAACTAAAGATCTAAAAAAATTAAATACATGTAACGTCATCCTACATACAGACTATCATGTATGTATACAACAAATTACGTACAGAATATATTTCAGTGGTAACAATAAATGTTGAACTATTCTCTTACATGTAGTCTCTAAGATTGAAGCATTCAATTCTTCAATATATTTCCCTCTTTTAACACTGTATTGGTTATCTCTCCCCCGAGAATGTTATTGAATTTATCTACAGGATCTAACGTACTGAAATCAGTTGCACAAGCGAAAAAAAACGGAACAGCAATAGGCGCTTATCATAGTAGAGTGTACATTTCATTCTAAAAAACGTTAAAGGTCAGAAGCCACTCCAAGACGACTTAGTTTTATTGTATGTGCCTATGGTATTATTAATCAGAAACTCTGTTCGTTTACGGTATATTTACGCGGTTCGCCCATTTTATACACAATTTGAACGCCCCGCCACTAGAAAATCTATTCCCCGCTCGACTAGCTTCCGGTTACGCAAGCAACCAAAAATGACGCATTACGGGGGAACATGATCCAGCTTGTTTCAGCCTGAACGCTTGGCAGCCATATTTGTTTTGCTTGTTTGCACGCTTGGCCGAAAGTTTGTACAATCGTAGAGGTATAGTATGTACCAATTAAAAAAAAAAGGTATTCAAGGGGAGTCATGATGTTCTTATAACACATCTATAGGCGGAGATTC